CCCCGCGGGTAGCCTCAGCCATGAGTGAGCCAAAAATGCCTCCCTCACTTTGGTGTCCTTGGAGGAGGGTTCCGAATTGGGTTGTTGGTAATCAACTTTTTTGGCCCAAATAAATGAAATGTTAGTAGAACTGAACACTTCATTGCTGTCTTAACTCTTAATGTCAAATCTTTTGTGGTGATTTGAGGCTATCTCCCACGATTAAATGCATTGATATTTGTCTTTTGTTTTTCTTTTCACATGAATAGGTCTCAAGGTTGGGGTATGGCTGCATGGGGCTTACTGGCGCATATAATAATCCTCTCCGGGTGGAAGAAGGCATTAAAGTGCTCAAGGAAGCTTTTGATAGAGGGATTACTTTCTTTGATACTGCTGATATATATGGGGTAGAGCATGCTAACGAGATACTGGTTGGGAAGGTAATTATACGAACAAAAAGTCTCCTTTTGCAGAAGAAAGAAGCTACATAAGTACTCGTTGGGAAATTCAACCATTTATCTTATCGGCCTCCAAAATAATTTTTTTATGTCAATCGTTTTCCTTCACGGTACTATATATAACAATCATCAACGTAGTATTTCTTTAGATGCCTGAATCTAAGATGACTCTGCATCGAATTTCATTTCACTCAAGTGGTGTGACCACACATGTATTGGCTTAATCTGGGTACAACTAAACCATTAATTTGAAGGCTTACTCTGGGTACAACTAATGCTGTGTTTGGCAAACTAGCTGAAAAGGTAACTGTTGGTCAATAAGCTAGATGTTAGCTGAAAAACTAGCCGATAAACTAGTCATATTTGGTAAAAGTTAGTTGATAAGATGACAAATGTAAAATGACCTAAAAAACCATCTTTTGGGACGTTTACCCCTTTTACCTCATCAGAGCAATCCCATTTGAGAAAGTTGCTCAGTCCTTTGTTTGCCTTGTATATGATGTTTCTATTTTGGCTAAATGTTCCTCTTGTTTTTAAGAACTCAAATGGTAACCTCCCCCCCTGATTTTTAACTCAATAAAAACACTTCGGTGTTTTTTCATTGATTAAACTGTAACCATTCAGGCATTGAAGGAATTACCTCGAGAAAAGATCCAGTTAGCCACAAAATTTGGTATCGTCAAGATGGATCCCACCAAGATTACAGTCAAAGGTGGTGCTGAATATGCCCGCTCCTGTTGTGAAGGTAGCCTAAAGCGGTTAGGTGTGGACTACATTGATCTATATTACATCCATCGAATTGACACAATTGTTCCCATCGAGGACACTGTAAGTTTATGCTCCTGTTTGGTTTCTAGTTAAATTTCATGATTACCTCTACTTTTCTTCATGCTAATGTAATATTAGATTTCCTTAAACAAGGGCATTATACCAAATTTAGTTTCATTTGATTTTCTCTCGAACAACAGATGGAAGAACTTAAGAAGATGGTGGCAGAAGGTAAAATAAAGTACATTGGGCTATCTGAAGCTAATGCAGACACAATTAGGAGAGCACATGCAGTTCATCCCATCACTGCTTTACAGATGGAATATTCCATTTGGACTAGGGAGATTGAGGAAGAACTAGTTCCACTCTGCAGGTCTATTTCTATTCCTCATTAAGAACTTTATATCCTACACAAATACTTTAGTTTCTTTTATCATATTTGTATTGAGGGGGTGCTTGGCTAGGGGTAACAGGGGGTGGGAATGAAATGAAAATCATTAAGGGTGTGCTTAGGACGAGGGGCAAGACTGAGTGAGACAAAAATGCATTTTTTGTCCCACCAAAATAGATGGGATCAAAATCCAGGGAGACGAGACAAGCTTGGTAAATTACTAAATTACCCATGTCAAAATAAAACCGTAAAACCTTCCACAATTTTTGCACCTGCCCACCTCACTCTCACCTATCCATCACCTATCCAGCCCTATCCGTGTGGCTTGATGTAGTTGAATTGCTCATGACCACTTAAGGGGTAATAAAACATTCCTCAACAATTCTTTGGGTTTTTTGGTGGTGGGGGATTCTCATGTCCATTTCCAGAAAAACTAAACTCCCCCTAACCGTAATTTGTTCTCATAGATATCATTTTAGTATATTTCCCCTTCGTGTTTTTCTATGTTGTCCGGAGTTTGTTCAAAATTCTATGTCTGTTGCTACTTGCTAGGGAACTTGGAATAGGCATAGTTCCATACAGTCCTGTCGGCCGTGGATTTTTCGGGGGCAAAGCAATTAAAGAAAGCCTTCCTGAGAATAGTGTATTGGTACTTGATCAACTACTCTTCTCTACATTACATCTTTCAACATACATCCTACCTCCAGACCCTAATTTTGAGTATACCGGCTCGTTTGGTTTGGTTTGGTTTAACCAACATCAGTTCTGGTTGAAAAGCATAGGAATATAAAGATTTTGATAGTGAGCTTTCTCTGTCAGGGATCGCATCCTAGGTTTACCGGAGAAAACTTTATGAAGAACAAGGTTGTTTACGAGCGAGTAGAATCAATGGCAAAAAGACATGAATGTACCCCTGCTCAGCTTGCTCTTACTTGGCTTCTTCATCAGGGGGAGGATGTAGTACCAATTCCAGGTTAGTTCAACTTGGAAAAAAAGGGTCAAATCGTAAATACCAATATTGTATTTAACAATATTGCATTCAACAATATTGTATTTAACACAGGTACAACTAAGATTAAGAATCTTGATGAGAATGTCGGTTCCGTTAAAGTGAAACTCACAAAGGAAGACGTAACAGAGATTTGTAATGTGGTGCCCATCAACGATATTGCTGGTTGTAAAACGAGTGAAGCTCCTCTACTGTGTCTCGTGGAGATTCGCAAATTCACCACCAAAGAACAGCAGTTAATCATCTTGATGTGTTGACCATTTTCAGTCTTGCAGAAATGAGGATTACGGGTTTTTCAGAAGGTGATTCGATCATCCGTTGGCTCAATAAACGAGTGGATTCTACATTGTGCAATATATGTTGATTTTGTTCTATGAACCTAAACGAGTTGATTATACGTTGTCTCAGTCGAATTGTGTTTGGGACTTTCGTGGGTCATGATAATGTCTGTAAATACTGAGTTGTAGCAAAGCGATGGTTTGCACAGCCGCTCGAGCCCTCATGTACGTGTACCGTCTGATTTCTTAGCTCACACCATTTGTGTTGAGGTGTGAACAAATTAATGGAGAATTTGGAATAGAATCCCATGGCATGTGCTTAGAACACCATTTGTTTCTGTTAGAAATTGAGTGGCATTTTGGTTCTCTCATCCTTTTTACAAAGTTCTTGGAACAAGCTTTTAAAGGATAACAAGTTCTCCAAAATGAGAAAGAACTAAATTCTTCGGGGCCGTTTAGTTTACGAGATTTGGAACCGGATTCTATTTCAATTCTACGTATGGTTTAAAATAAAGTCCGGTATTGAAATCTCGGGATTTCTATTTCACATAGATGGAATATATAAACCTCATGGATAGTTGGTATTTTACGAGATTTAATAGGATTTGTTTGTTATGATGCTTTAAATATGTTAAAACACTTGTTTAGTAATAATAAAAAAAGGTAATTTTATTCTTTTTATAAATAATGAAATTTAATCCCAATACAAATCCTACAAACTAAACACACACAGATTTCAAATCCACCCACGAAATTCAGATCCCAGAAAAATATTCTAGGGTCTGTTTGGTTTGATTGAATGATTTTAAGTGATGTGGATTTTGTGGAAGAATTTGGAATTTGAGGAATTTGGATTTGAAAAGATTTTGGAAAAAAAAAATCAAATTATCAACTTTTCTGGTTCATTCCAACATTTCCCACTTGTGATGACTGTTGTTGAGTAGCTTTTGATATCAAATGGACCTTCCTTTTGTTAGGAACACAAACAGGATCGTCACGATAATGGTAACCCCACAATTAACTACCTCTTTTTATGAAATTCATAGTAATAGATATGTCCTACCAAGACATAATTTATGACTTGCTATCCTTTCGACCTGATCTTAGGCTCTGACTCACCTTCCATGGAGAATAGTGGCAACAATGATAACAACAGGTCAGTGGTTGTAGGGCGAGGCGGGGTGGGGGTGGGTGGCAAAGGTGGTAGTTGTGAGGATGATATTAGTGTCATGATGGTCGTATGGTGGCATTGGGGTTGTAGCTATGACGACAAAAGTAATGGCATAGTGGTCGGTAAGTTGGGCGGGTAGTAGGGTGGTAGTTGTAACGAAAAAAGTGGTTGCATGGTGGTCGTGTGGTGAGGGTGGGCATGGGGTGGGATGATAACGACTATAATGACTTGGTGGTCGGTGATGGGTTGGGGGTAGGGTGGATGGCTGTTATAAATGTAACCTTGAGAAATTGAGGGATGCTTGATGTAAACTCACCAATTTATGTGGAGTTCTAATGACAGAACTTGAAAGTTAGAGGGTCTAAAAGTAAAAAACGTAACCAATTCTTTTGTTTTTATAGTGTTCGAGAAGGAAATGTCAGGCAAAATAAGCCCCACCCCCACCGCCATGGCTTCGACGGAGCAGCCTCCAAAGAAGCGAAAACCGTTCGAACCGCCGCAACCAGTAGCAGTACCAGTATCAGCAGAGCCAGAACCACCGTCTCCTAAAACGACAGCCAATCCACCTGCTACAACCCTATCTCAGGAAGAAATTGCCCGAAAGCGGAGAAATCAAGAAGAGATTAGGAACTTCTACGAGTCTTACAAGCGACTTAAGTACTGTATTGGTCAGAAGGATGCTCATCTCATGCCTGAACTTGAACAGGCTTATCTCTCCCTAATCACCGCCTCCAGAGGTGAACATTTCTTATAATTTTCTAGTATATGATCTATAAACCCTAAAATTAATCGTTAAGGTGATTCAAATGAAACTATGCAAGTAATTTATTGTATGAGCGTTACAAAGATTTATCCAAAATTGGAGTAGTTATGACTACATGCAATCTTTGCGTGATATCTGTCTATTTGATTGCATACGATTTGCTGTGAGATAGGTAATGACTCTTCTGTTCCAAAAAAGTAATATTTTTTTTGCAAACCTAGTATTACCCAAGTGCACCGACATACCACCAACATTATTCATTTTCCTGTACTTATATGAGGTTTATGCAGTTAACCAGTTTCTGTCTGTAAGTTTTCAAGGTAGCAATTTTGAAGTGGAAGATTACGCAGTTATGTAGCTCTTTATTTGGGGCAGGGGGAGTAATAACGTTCTTTGGGGGATTTATGCCATGGAATTACTTTCTTTTCCTAGATGGCCAGATATACGCTATCCTTGTAGGTACTCGAGGCTTCTGAAGGTAACCCATTGTATTTATTTTTGAGGATAGAACCCTTTGAAGAGATATTAGGGAGTGTATAAAAAATAGAGATTATAACCGGCGCATAAAGACAACAAATGATATAGACAAATGTCATGAGAAGCCTAAACTAATATGATTCCTGTAACAATCCTCCTTATGTTGGAGTATAGATGTCAATCATTCCCAACTTTGTGCATGTGAAGTCTATTTGAGTCTTCCATAGGGGTCATTGGATAACTAAAATATGATCCTTGTAAGATGACAGTTAACCTCATACAAGCAAGACCCTCTCCGCAAAATCTTTTTGCAAGCCCGGGGTCTTGACGGGAACATTTCTACCGATTGGGGTAGAAGAAATGTTTGGAAACATTGTACCCTTCCCAGACCCTACTCCATGTGGGATTTTCTGGGTTTGTTTTGGTTTGGTTTTAGACATTCTTGATATTCAACTGATCTAGAGGCAGGTGATGATGAATAGCAGTACGGGCAATACAGATATGGATGCTACACATCTTCACCATTGGTTAGAAAGTCTCCTCGTAATCAATGCCATAAGCATGTGAATATCCTTTGGAAGCTATAGAGTTTTTGCATGGCGTTTATCTTTCTATTATCGAGTTTGAGTCAATAATGAGCTTGATACACACTTCGTTCAAGGAGACTTTTCTATGTCATTCATTATCAGAGTTTTGTGATTATACATGTGGTTTGATGGAGTGTACTGTTTTAATGAGGCAGCTATGTCTGTAAGAAAGTAAGGATCATATGTTTTTGATCGTATTGAACATACTGAGGTAGATTATGACGTCGTTTCGTGAGAAGTGTGAACCTCCTGCTACCAAACCGTGGCACATTCTGGAGACTAGGTTGCTGATACCTTGATGAACTTTCTTCTTAGAGCTCAAAAAGGATTCTGCATATGACAGGTCGTGCATGTGATATTTATGCTGCATCTCGAGGAGTGTTTGAGTTATAGGATACATATGTAGTGTTGTTTTTATTACTGTATAGGATTTTATATTTTTGGCCGATTATGCATTATTATATATTTTCATTTTTCTTACATTATGATATACTGTTCCCTTTTTATGGCCCATGTTTTACAATAACAAGACTCAACCAAAAGGTTATCAATGCCATTAGATGGTTAAGTGATACTGTTAAACAAATATATTGTATTTTGAGTATTATTTTTATCTTCTCCATGTCATTAATAGTCCTGAAACAGGTTGTACGAGTGTTCAACGTCTTGTAGCAGAGTTTGTCCCTAAATATGCATCATATTGTCCAACTGCTCTTGAAGCAGCAGCAAAAGTTTGTATCAATATACATAACTGGAGCATGTCAATTATAAACAGAGCCGAGGATGCTGATGGTTTTTCATTTGAAACTGCTAGAGCCTGTATATTTGGTCTAGCTACCATCTGTCAGGCTGCTTCATCGGAAACACCAACATCCTCTGTTATTCAAGGCATCTGTTCAGCGGTATTTCTGAATGTTCTGAGCTTCTTCATTTCTTCGGTTGAGGGACAGGGAATCTTCCAGATTGTAAATAAGGATGTTACAAAGATATATGATTCGCCAAAGATCTTTGCCGAGCTCAAACAGAAGTTTTCTGATGAAGAGGAGGCAGCATCTGTCAAATTGTCCAAGTGTCGTGCATTATGTATTCTCTGGATATTCTTTACCTGTCCCAGAAATTCACTTGCAGCTTGCTTTGAGCTCTGCAGTTCCAATTCAACAAGTGCTGTTTCTAATGGAGGACAGTATTTTCTTAATCAGGTGACAGCCAGACTTGACCCCTGTGATGTCGTTTATCCTTTAACTGGTAACAGTGATGGAGTTAAATTAATAGGTTCTGTGGAAAGCAGCAGTGAAGTCAAGGATGTTACCTGTGATGGGAAAGTTTCAATGGACAGCAATCTTCCTCAAGATGCATATTATGGGTCTAAAAGCTGCTTATTGGGTCTGGTAAGAACTTCTGTGGATATAACAACACAATAGACTTGTTAGAGTTCATTCATCTATTTTCAACGTAGGGATCCACTTTGACATTATCAACTGCTGAGTAGTCTTTTTCTAGTCCACATTAATGCTTAGAAATTCATAGAACCTCTTCAGGTTACTTGGGTTCCTGTTCCTATCCTTTCTGTTGTTTGGGTTACCCCAAGTGATGTCTTTATAGAAGTATAAACAACAGTTTCTTCCCTTCTGCATCTCTCTGTGTTAGATATGTTCTTGGTATGGTGTGTAGTCTGGATCATGGCATGATTTTTGTAAGTTTGTCTGACAATGTCATGTTCTGTTTAGTTCTTTCTTCCAGTTTTACTGCTCCGTTATGCTACTATTTTTCTGAAGAGGATCCTGTTCATCTTTTTTTTCTTCAACAACGTGTGGAGGACCTTGAGGCAGTAACTTCAGGATGAAACTTGCTTGGTCACTGCATTCTTAAGTAGAGTACTAGTTATTCTCTTTGAAATTATCGAGAAGAAACCCAAATTGGAGTTGCCTGGTTTAGAAAGAAAAAAAGGAGAAAAGATAACCAACTGGACCCTTAATTCATAAACGTTAAGCGCAGTCCCTTGGATTGCTCCTGTTCTATTACTGTTTTTCTAATCAACCTTTTGAAGGAGATACGATCACAAAGGTACCTTTGTCACTCAGTTAACCTTTTAATATTTCTACATAATTATGAATTTAGGCGGCTTTCAGAAAAGTACTCGTATTTATAGGATATTATAAATTCAGTAGCTTATTTTATGGCATACTATGCATGTTTATTTCCACATCTTGTGTAACTCATGAGTTGAGTGGAGTTGCAAGTACCTAGTTACAAAAGCAAGAATCGAGTTTCGTACCTTTGTCAGGACTGTTGTTTTGAATGTTTTTTCAGTGATGATCATGCTCTTTCTCCTATCTACAAATTTCTTGCTACAAGTGGAGCCCAAGGACTGTATCATGACACTGGTTGACATTGTTAGCTGTCCATTTGGTTATGTTTGTTTGATTCATGTTCTTATAGGTCTATGTGAAATTGATAGTTGTCAACTTTCACTCGTAGAACTGTCTTGTAGATGTTATGAGATCCCATAGATATGGAACAAAAATTGGTATGGCACCGCACAATATTCACCATGATAGGTTGATGATCATGCTCTACCTCCAACCTACAAATTTCTTGCTACAAGTGTAGCCCAAGGACTGCATCATGACACTTATCGATTTTTTAGCTGCCCATTCATGTTATCCATGTGACATTGATAGTTGTCAACTTTCATTCGGTAACTGTGTCTTGGAGATGTCATGAGAGCCTATGGATATGAAACAAAAATTGGTACGGTACCAGACAATATGGATGGTTTGTTCAAGTAAACCTGATATTCACCATGATAGGATCTTATATCTCAGTTGTGAAACACATTTAGCAAAGCTTCATCACTTCTTTTTGTTTATCACATGTCAATCATCATCATCTTCTTCAGGGTTGATATGCAATTCCTTCTTTTCCTGAGTGATATTTTGTTACTATCGAAACTGTTTCATCGAATTGTTTCCTTAATTTTGTACATTGATCAACTTCTAAATATTGTTGCCTATATGGTTTTGATGTATTTGTCTAGTCAGATTTGTGCAGGTAGAAGGGTTTTGTTAACATACATACATCTATTTACTATCAATTTGTGGTTTACCTTGCTGACGTGTAAATAATCATTACAGACCTTTATGTATAGGTACAAGACTAGAGCTCAATTAGTTGACTCAAACTTGAAGAACACTTGAGTTCGAATTAAAGTTCAAGTTCATATTGTTTCCGGGTCATCTAACTAACTCATTAAATTATGTAGATTAAACTCAGACACCATTTCCTGTCCAGGTTTGATAGTCAATTCAGCTCGACTTGATTAGTTTTTAGTTGACTAGGGTTTATATTCGCCAACACTCGGGCTCATTTACTACTATAATTTCTGGTGATTACTTGCATGAAAAGGAAAAACTTGTTCATTGAAGGAATCATAATATCATATGATGAGAAAACTAATAGGTTCCATTTTCAATTATGTTTTGGAGGCATGTTCTTATTGTTCGAGTCCACATATTAGCTTCAATCTATGCCCATTTATCACTTCTGTTCTATTTCCACCCATTTCATGCCCTTACTGGGTTCTTAATGATTACCGTGTTTTTCCTTTTTCTGAGCAGGTTCTTGATAAGGATCCATCCCTGAGACCATGGATATTCTCAAGGGTTAAAAGTATTAGTAAATCAGCTTCACCTAACGTTGTGTCTGATATCACCTCTGCTTTGGAGAGAATATTTAAGTCATTCACAGAACAGGTGAAGGCAGAGGACAAACAAGTAGACAGCGATGGGGATGATATCAGTCCATCCAAATTTATCCATAGGCAGTTTTCGGTTCCTAGGACCTCTAATCAGCACAGAGCTTCGGAAGTTTCTGTTAGAGAAGGATCATATCCCAGTGATGCTGTCGACCAACTTTCAGGTCTGCATCCGGAACACCATGGCTCAATAACATCTGAAACAGATTTACGGTCTAACACAAGTTCCAATAATAGTGGGGGCCCAAGATCTATGGACCTAGACTCTGTGGATCACCGGGAGTTGTCTCGTGCTAGTTCATCAACGCCCAGGGACCTATCAAATAATCTAACGCCATCTGCTATGCCAGAAACATCATTGGACTTGGGAGGTAATTTATTGAATGGAAGAAATCATAGTGCCAATACAGAGATTCACTCTTCAAGACTGGAAAATGATGTACCTGCCTTGAATGCCTCTAGTAGTGGTGTGAATAGTACTTTTGAATCACCTAAACATCATTTGCCTTCTCCATATCCCTCAGCAGGTCAACCCAGTTGGCACTTTGATGGGGATCGAGCTGCAATGGATGTTTATTCAGCTTCGAGACATCTTTGGTTGGGCTCATTAGGTCCTGAGGCATCTGAGGCACATGTAAAGTTTCAATTCGAAAGGTTTGGTCCCATAGATAATTTTTTTTGCCTTCCGTTTAAAGGATTTGCAGTGATTGAATACAAACACATTATGGATGCAATAAAGGCTAGGGAAATTATGAGGGGACGTTCTCCTTGGGGTGCTTGCCTCCTCATAAAGTTCTTAGATATAGGGCTAGGCACAAGAGGTGATATGAACGGTGTGGCTGTTGGTTCTAGTTGCCATGTATATGTTGGAAACATTCAAAGCCAATCAGATAAGGATGAGATACTGTATGAACTAAGAAAGACACTTTTCAAGGGCCCACTTGCTGTTAATGATCTTATGAGTGAAGGTGCATTCTTGATGGAATTTGGGACTCCTGAAGAAGCTGCCACAGTAATGGCACATCTTAGACAGTATCGCAAGGAAAAAAAGGATTTTCTTCAGACGTCAGCTGTTGGTCCGGTGAATTCTATGATGCCAGTAGATAGATCAAGTCATGGATCTACTTCTCTGCATGTTGACTTAAGGAACAACAATCTCGGAAATGGTACTGCTAGTTCACCTCATGCTCAAACTGTTGTTGGATTCAGGTATGTGAATATTTCTAATTAGTTTCTGTTTTCCATGCGCTGTCGCTTAGTTATGTATGCTCGGATTTAGGTTTGCAATGCTTACCTTGTTTTCCTTTTTGCTGCTATCAACCAGTATAATCCAGATGACTAATATATAAGCATATTATAGAGATCTTGCATGAAAAGACATCAGACTCTTTGTTACAACTTATGTGGTCATTTTGTTTATAGTTTGTTTATCGACAACTGGCAAGTAAGACTACCTTGTTTACAAGAATGGAAATTGCTAACGGGGTGACCCATAAAAGAAATTTACATGCTAGATAAGATAAAATCATTGCTTGCTTGGTCTTCTTTATATTTCGTGATATTTTTTATTATCTTTCGTTAAGGAAACTATATTATTAACAAGAATGAGAATTGCCAATGATTGGTCCGTATTGTAATATGAACATATCAGCTGTTGGAATTGGGATAGCAATCAGAAGCACCACTATGTATTTGAAAAGAAGATGGAGAGGACCAGAAGAGATATAGAGTAATAGAGGAGAGAAGTCAGGTGAGGAAGAGAAAATTGGAGGGAAGATCTCATCAGTATATCCTATAGTTTTAGTTAGATGTGGAAGCCTGCTATTTTATTGTCCGAGTTTCTTAACAGCAAGAGAACATAAAGTAAACAGAAGTAACAGAACTGCACTCTTGATTCTTATCCATTAAGTTACACTCTTCAGTTTTACGAGTTCTTTGCTCATGTCATGGGCTTAAAGCTACAAAAATACATATGGAAGAATAATGTTGTAGCTGATTAAATAAAAAACATGGACTTGAGAATTATACGAAAATAAATAAATTAGATATTATAAAAACTTACACAAAATAGTTGATTAAACTTCTTGTATTAGCATAAAATGTTTTAATTGAGAAGCTTCTCCACTTGGAGAATTTTCTATTTTTTTTTCACAAGAAGATAAACTGATTGTTTAGTTGAGAGTCCTAGCAATAATAAAGTGTATTCATTTTTCACATAACCCTTGTTTAGTGTTTATTTCCATCTTTTTTGGTTTATTTATTCTCTTACAATTTTTTTTTTGATTTGCTGTTTGTTTAGACGAGTATGAGTTTTGAGTTTCCATATTTTTAATAATGGTTCTGTGGGAGGACCTTGGATTGGTTGTACGCTACATTTAATTACTTGAATACTTGATTTGTTCAGATTACAAAGCATTTCCTCTAATATATCTATTCTAGTTATGACCCTTAAATGTTTGTCTTGAAGAATAAAGGTTTTCTGCAAAAGCAATGAGATTGAAAACAAGATGTTTGATGATCGCTTGCCATTGGTTACTTGTTGAAAACTTGAAATAAAAGAATTAAGAAAATTTAATAGTCATACTGAAAAATCTTGTTGATCGCCTATCGAATGTTGATCGAGTCATTCATTGGAAGTTTATTCTGTTTTATCTTTATAGTTATCAGCACAATGTTGTCAAAACTTAAGATGGTATGCAAGACCCATCCGTCCAATCGAACTGTTGATATTTGTCCAGAACATCAATGTGTAGCAAATGACTCGCTCTGCACCACCATGTTGGAATGCATAGGGTTGCGTTCAGGATTTTGTAACCCTACTAAACTTACATTGCTATATCATGATTTGATCTTGATTAAATGTATAAAATACATGTGGAGTAAAAAAGTGATGCATTTGAGCAATAATTTGACTTTTGTTGAAGTCATGATGAGTGTCAAAATTGAAATTTTGTTTATATGCCGGCGACCATGTTCGGTTCATTCCATAAGTTGCACAAGAGCTGAGTTTTGTTTATTCCTTTTCATTCAGTGTGCAGGGTTTGACGGTCATTAACTTTTGATTATTTATGCCTGGTCCATCCTAATGTTAAAATTTTTAGTTTTATATATGGCATCACTATCTCATGTTTGTCTATGGTGTTCATGAACCCCATCATGAGATGCTTATGGCCATTTGTTTGAGCAGTCATTGTGGGAAGCACAACACTAACACCATGGAGCTAACTTCTCCAAGAATTAATATGGTAAATCAAGGAGCTGCAATGCAAAGTGGATACCCATTCCAATCAAACTGGAGGAGCTTTGGAGGGCAAGCAATGCTTGATACTGGAACAAGAAAAGGTGATACATATGATGCTAGGATGGTGATGGATCCTTCTCAAGCAGGTTCTATTCAATAACCGAGGACTTACAAAATGGATCCTTTTGGAGAAGACTTATTCTCATGTTTGTTGTGGTTCTTTTTTGGTGAACTCTTAGGTGGTCATATCTCCTCCGGTGCTCCCGAACAAAATTGGACTTACAGGAAACCAGAAAGTGTACCACATTCAACACCTGGGAGCATGGCATGCATATCTGCACCAATACATGGGCATAATTTTGCACCGTCACAGACGATGCAGGCATCTTCATTCATGAGACCTGTGTATTATCCTCCAAATAGTTCATGGGATGGACGTGGGATGATTCATCATGCGCCTATAAATCCCATTTCATCAGGAGGGATGCATAGCAATCTTCATAATAGTGCTGTAGCACCTCCTTTCTTACCTGCTTCTGTGACTCCACTTGCTCAGATACAAGGGAATCCATTGCCACAGCACGATCAGATGTTTTATGTGCCGCCCCCCTTGACCACCATGCCTGCTCCTCAGCCTGACTTGGTACCTCCATTACCTCCTCAGTTGAACATGCCACCTCCATTACCTCAGCGGAACATGCCACCTCCATTACCTCCTCAGCTAAACATGCCACCTCCATTACCTCCTCATCCGAGCTTGCCTCCTCCATTACCTATGCATCCTGAATTGCTTCCTCCATTGCCTCCATCTCCACCTCCTTTGCTCGAGTCTCAGCCACCTCCTCCACCACCACCTATTGAATCTTTAATGTTGGGAAGTGGTGGATACTGGCAGGGAGCCTTGAGTAAAAGTGGGGTTCACTATTCTACAGTACATGCACGTAAACTGCATTCAGATGCCTGCAACTATACAGATAATATCTCAGAGCCTGCAGAGTACTGTTTTTTTTTCTTTCTATATGAACTCTTTCAGGAACTTGCAAATAATGCTAGTTTCTGATGATTTATGTTGCTGGTTTGCAGATGGCCCACTAAACTAGATATAACAAAGCGGACTGATTTTAGACATGTGATGTCAACATTTTCTAGCACCCCACCACATAAAGTGAGTTTCTAAGCACACTTTACCCCCCCTCCCCTAGAAAAGTCTCCTCTTCATCCTCTCTCTTAGACTTGTTCTTGTTCATAATGAATGTTTGCTTGTTTTGCTATCTCAAACTTTCTTTTCTGAACATAAGAGCTAATTGGCATTTTATTGTCATGTGAAATATCGGTATAATTCTTTTGGTTAGAATGGAGCAAGAGGCAGCGTTGCAAACTGGAAAATGGATCAATCATAAAATCTGTTTGGTAGATAGTTATCTTCCAGACGTGGATATGAATCTTTTCTACTTGATAGTGTCGTCTGAGTTGTTTTATTGAAGTTGAATGAATGCAAAGAGATGTATCCAAATTTCAAAGTTTTATATTGCTTTTTCCTGTACTTTCTGCCATTATTATATTACTTGACTGGTTTGAGTATTGTTCTCTCTTTCCCCCATGCCCCCCTGTGGTGACATGGGGTGATAAAAGGAAAGAGAGGGATGGGTTCTGTTCTGCAGCTGGATGTTTGTTATTTTTGGGTTGTGCACCAGATTTTAAAGAGTAGAATTTGTTGATTATTTTCTCTATATGTTTCCAAATGCAGGAAAAGCATTCTTCAATTCATCTTATTTCTCTATTTATGTTGACATTATTTTGTGGTATGACCCTAACACATCCTTAAAACATTTGTTAAGGTAATATTTTTTCCAACTATGATACATGGCATTAATGATGTATAATAATGAAGCATTTTGGTGAATGTGGATGGGCTGAAAATCAGACTAATTGGGTTTTCGTTGGTTAATACTTTGATGCAATGCCTGGAAATTGTTTATATGAACCATAGAAGTAGGGATGGAATGCATTCTATTAGTAAGTTCTCTAAACCGACCATATTAGATGGTCTTGGTGATGTAAACTATGGTCTTTCCACTCTTGTGTTTAAAGCCATATCACTAGAGATTCCACTGATGTCTACTTATTTGTTACCAATCTAGGTTACCTTTGGTTTGAGCCCTTCCCCCACAACAAAAAATGGTGGTTGCTACGTTTTTACCAATAAACACCCATGGAATGGCACTCGTTTGCAGGTTTTAGTAGAAGGAAATAATATCAATGAAAGTATGAAAATATTATGCATTGTCATTTAGCTAATGTATAAATGGTTGGATTTGTTTTTCATCTTATATGGGAAGGGTTTGTGAATCAACTAGTAGGATAGTTATTTTTTAGATTCTATGGAGAGAATTATCTAGTTGCAAAAGTTGGAATTTAGACTAGAATAAACTAGGTCATCCCTAAGATAAACAAACCAGACAGACTAAGGATGGAAACACTTCCATGAGCGGGCTTGGTTTTGTGGGAGGTAAATTTGGCCAGGAAGGTGCTGCATCACAACAGGGACATGAGTTGGAGCAGCGGAAGGTGTGCGACTGTAGGACTAGAGCAAAAATTAGAAGGGATGGAGTGGGGTGTTAGGTCTGATCATGGATATGATTTCTCCTTGAAGAGGACATGTGAGGGGCCAAAAGTTGATGGGAGTGAGGCTCATTCATTCTTTTGGGGATCAAAATACTATGGATTAGTGCATAGATTTGGGGATTCTGAGATAATGTAGCAAATGCCTTAGAGAGATGCTAGTTTGGTTTGTGGTGGGCATGGCCTGCATAGGAGAACTCCTGTTCATGGGTTAAGATCACTTAGAAAGATTTCAGTGAAGAAAATGTGCGTCACACGGTTTTGGAGAAAATATTATACTTCAGAATGCCTTCTAAGCTTACAATTGTGCCTAACAAAGGACATCATTATTTTTGGCAGGTTTGGTAAAAAAAATTCGAAGTTCAAAATTGAGCCTTAAATAATGAATTTACTACCTAAGATAGAGTGTAATTGAAGATATTCCCCATTTTACACTATTTACATTAGAAAAATACCAAAATCTTGAAGAATGAGGGAATCTTTGAAGTTGGATCCCCAGGTGTGCGGGGTTTGAAATTGTTTCATGGGTTGGTCACAAGCCTGTATTATTGGCATCAGAAGTTATGGCCTCTTCAATTTCACATTTTTTCTATGCTTCTCATGTTCCCATTGTTCCTATAATTGAGTTATTTATTCCTCCTCAATTAAGCATTATGGTAAAGCCTCATTTGCAGCTGATAGAGTAAGCTCTGTAAGTACACAACGCAGTCATTGCAACAGACAGGTTTAATTTTCATAATGGATTCATTTATGGAGCAAACAACTAAGTGCTTTTCAGGGGAAAGAGACTCTAAACCTACGTGATACTTCTTCCTTGTGCATACAATGTTTCTCTTACATGATTTAGTACAATATTGGATGCAAAGTGACTCACATTTCAGGAATCGTATGACCATTTTGTGGCATATGTGATGGTGTAGAATCATTGGAAGTGCATTATGTGCAAGATAATCTTTTATGAGATGTTGGAGACACATGCTTGAGTCCCTTTAGCAAAAATAGGGGGAACATGGAATGGGCTACCCTAAAGGGGTAATTACAGTGGTTTTGTTGGCTGTATTAGGTTTCTTGGGTATTTGTAAGAAACGAGTTACCAGTAGTGTCATCATGTGATCTAAAGATGGATGGTTGGGAATAATAACAGACTGACTTTGGCATTGCGTGAATATACCTGAGTGATCGGAGACATTGGTGCTATATTGGTTGAGATTCTTGTGACATCTATGAAGAGGGTGGTACCAAAATTGGGTACATTAGAGTAGAGGTACCAGTTGGAGCGGATAACAACCAGTCTGACTAAACGGAGTAGCAAACGAAGGCACATTTGTGTGGTTTCTTGTGGATGGAGGTTATAGATACAACCAAAAGACACCTAAAAATTGTTGGAACATGAAAGAAGCAGGGGATGCTTTCATTCAATAGATAGTCGTTAAAAGCAAGCTACTAGATTAGTGTCACCCCAGAACTGGTAAGCAATATGGCAATGAATAAGTTGGGTGTGAGCCACATCGTGTATATTTCGATCTTCAGGTTTAGTGATGTCATTCTACTCAGGTAGGTGGATAAACACGATGTGATTCATCCAAGATCCCGTATTTAGGTTTACAAAAAGCAAAATTGGTTTGATTAAATCTCATCTCATTATTGGCTTAACTTTAACTTCAGACTACAAGGCTCAGTTTACCTCTATGTATGCTGAGTTGAGCACTTTTACTTGGGATCAACTAAGCCTTCATTGAAAACAGTTGGGGGTAGGTGATGAAATCCGATTTCAAAGTGGAAGGAGTAGTAGTTAGGGAATGGGAGAGAAAGAGCACTCACAACACAGGGAGTGCGGAGTAATTTAGATACAAGAAGTATTTTACAAAAATGGGTTGCTGATTTTGTAGGCCAAAATCCAATTTAGATGGCTTGGATATGCATATGCATTCCTTGATGCTGCCCTATGTAAATACGTATCTGTCGTTATTTTTTACTACCCAATGTTATGAATGAGGCTAGATGATTTTTTTCTGTGGAGATTGCCGACACAAGAGATGTGATGTAAACTAGCTATATTTACCTATAACAGCAATATTTCATCCTCCTATTAGGAAATATTAGTTATATCTGAAATGACCCAAAGTGGAATGATTTTCTTTCTTTTTGAATTCTCAAATTTAAAAGCAACAGAGTCGGAGGATCTGCGGTTGCTTTGGCTACTCGTAGCTCCGACATGAAGTTGTCCTTGGTTATTTTCTGCATAAAGGCACCCCTCATTTTGAAGTGGCTCATTGATGCATCCCAGATGCCTATAATGAATATGAAAAATACTATCTCAAGCTATGGGTTTGAGTTCAAGTTTTTTTTTTTTTTTTGGGGGGGGGGGAGCATCAACATGCACTTCTTTAGGGTGGAAATAGCTCTTTACTAAAGTCGGCCCAGCAGATTAGCTAATTGTATCTGTGACCAGGAAGGGCAAGGGAAAGATTCCCATGATACTGTTGCAACAAAAAACTATTTGATCTGATTCAGAGGAAAGAAAAGTGAATCCCATTAATGAGTTGGTGAACCGACGGCAAGGCCTTGCCGTCGTATTTGGCTAATCGGCTTTGTATGTGCGAGTTATATGACTATTAAATTTATTCTAGATTTATTACGTTAGCTTCACGATTTAAGAAATTTGCATAGTGATTCTTGTCTCTTGAGTAAATTCATGAACCGATAACTATGATAGGTTTTACAAATTGGACAGTAGATAGATGTGTTGTTGATAAGTGATTGCAGAGTGGATTTAAGTTCTAAAGCACTTTAATATGATGACATGTGACGGTATTATATTTATGTAATATCCAAGCAGCTAGAACTGCTCATTTATATTATTCATGGTGAATTTACTATAATTATATTTTGCATACTTTCTCACGATATTAAAGCTTGGACGGAGTAAGAATAACGTCATTGCATTGTTGCATGTGATGCAGAGAGAAGTATGTCAGCTGTTCCCAACTTCTGCTGGTGACCATAAAGGCGTAAGTTTTCTTGTCCTTGTTATGTTCTTATGTTTATAGTATATAAAAGCAATACCATCCTTGATAATGGGGAAAAATCTCACGGGCATGAATGTGGGCATGTTAAGTTATCTGTCTTAGCCCTGAAGTTTATTTGTTTATTTAGTTTCTTTGCATTAACTGAAAATCCAAGCTGAATCAAGTGGCCATGTGCGATTTTAACCTGTCCGGTAGGGTTCTTTTTTAGTGTCCTCGTGGTTCTGATCATGTTTTTTGTACTTCTTTTACCAGTCGAATTATCTTCAGCTCCAATCACTAATTGCTGTTTAAGAATTTAAGCAAATGTGCTAATTCGTTTTAGTAGCGTCTTCCTTGTTGATGGACCAACAGAAGAATCACTTTATTTTTATTTTGTATCATCTGTAAATCACATTCACATCACTTGTAACTTACCATCTTCGCTGTAGAAAACTCTGCGTCAGTAGATTCTGTATCTTAATGCAACGTGTTCCTTTGCCTCCACTCTATATACTCGACAAACTCAAGGTTTGGGTAACATGCCAGTCTGATTTGGGTAGAATCAATTTGATTTTGATGTAGACCGTTGCTTTTTGTTATTTCGGCTAGGGTTTGGGATGACAGGTCTATGGTCAATCAGCTGTAGAAAATAACTTGATTGGATGGTCGACCCATTTAGTCCTGTTGGATGCATCTTAAGCTGCTTAGAAGGGAACTATGTGGATTGTTCGGATGATATGACATATAGTGCTGTTTTGATATTTATGCCAAATAATAAATGTATAGTTGGAAGCAAATTATGGATACTTGATGATATCTCTTAAACAGAACATCACAACTTATCTATAAAAGTAACTCCCTCCATCCCAAAACAGTTGGCAACAATGAAAAAAGCACTGTTTTAGAAATGTGTAATTTTTTGAACGGTTACTATGTAATCATGTATTAGATTTGTATATTGGTGATTGTAGTTTTTGTTTTAGTACGTATTTAAGGTTGTTTTTTTGATCTGGATGCATTCACTAGTTGCACGCCATGAATGCATGGTTCTTGTCACATGATTGTAATTATTGTCGTCGTATTTTTTGCAGTTTCAAGATTTTATATCGTATTTGAAGCAGAGGGAGTGCGCAGGCGTGATAAAGATCCCAGCTACGAAAAGTGTGTGGGCAAGACTAGTGTTCATTCTTCCTTACTCCAATGAGATATGTTCTCATCTCTGTGTTGCCCCTGACACAGTAGACTGCCTGATTGCTCTTGTGCTGCCTAAAGAAACAAATTTTGAATGGGTATAATATAACCGAAGATTGGGGGCAAAATAGTAATTTCATACACAACCAACTGGTGTATGCATGTTGTACATAATTAGTATGAGAAAAAGTAGAAGAGATGTTAACTTTAGGTAGGCAGGAGTAGCATTTATTCTAAATCTGTTGCATATCTGGTTTTCCTTTGAAATGTATTTCAACAAGGTTAACTTCAGCTTTATTGCATATGGAAGTTGTGCAACATCTTACCAAACGGTCATTGGTCTAGTGGTACTTAGGTTATTAGGGTTCAATTGCGTGTGAATATTTGTCGTATGTAAATGTTCTATACTTGAAGAAAATGTTGTGAAACATCGTGGTTTTGGAATGATGTACGCATTCTTGTTTGGATTTTGCACCGCATGCGTCCAACACTTGTGAAAGTAAAGGGACGTTTACCTAAATGTTTATCCGGTAAGTGCTTAACATTAGGAGTCCTCACTATATTTTATTTTATTGTGTAAGATTGTGATACATCAAAACGTATCATATACAACAATTTACCTGGTAAGCACTTATCCGGGTAAAAGTCATCACCCTCACTTACCGGGTAAGACTCTTCATCCTTATTATCACTTTTGTTGGGCAAGATTCTTGGTCCTTACCATGTTTATCTGGTGAGCAAAAATTGCCCGGTAAGTACTTACAGGTTAAACGTTTAGTAAACCGCCCTAAATCAACTTGATTGTGTTTTCATATCGAGTCTATTTTTGAAATGAAAAGAGATTGTCAAATTTTGTAACGATGGTGCTTTAAGTCGATTACTCGTGCTGTCCAGATCTAAATTGACATACATTTTTTTGAAGAAGTCGAACTGATCATAAATTTACATAATTCATTCGACCAAGAAAACCAGTGGTGGTTTTGTAGTCGATTTATTTGATAAAAAAACAAGTCTAAGTTTGTGTTTAAATAAATTTATGGGACAAATGTAATCAACAATCAGAGTGGCGCAGCGGAAGCGTGGTGGGCCCATAACCCACAGGTCCCAGGATCGAAACCTGGCTCTGATAAGAGTGGCTTCCGTCGGTTAATTTTTAATTTTTAAACCCCTAATGATACGGCGTCGTTTTTTCCATCAGTTTCTTTAAAACCCATAGGAATTCTACTATTGACACAAACATATTTAATTGTATTTATTAAAAAAAAATGTGTTTTTCGGATCAACAAATTGGAAAAAGGAATCGATTTTCACACATTTATCTAAAAATAATTATATTTTATCTTCAAATTAAACAAGTAGAGAGTATCAAAATTTTGGATTGAGGTTTCACTTTTATTACAGACTAGTTGTGTATCCGTGCAATACGGTGGACAGCCGTGAATTTTAACGATATTAAAGTTTTATTGGTTTTATTAGAGAAGATTTAACGATGATATAAATTACTCTTGGTCTTTACATATTAATACATTTTGAATAAATAAGAGTTATGGTCTAATTACAATTTATCGATGAAAAAAATTGTATGACAATTTAAAATCCAATACATTTAAACGACTCCACAAATGTGTTCGATTTATACCAAGAGCAAAAAATCAAGAGAGCGAGACTGAGAGTTCTAGAGCAATTGGATGAGAGATGAATGGGAAAACTTTTAATAAATCATAGTGAATATCAATTTGAATTTCACCTTGGGGGATAAGGAGAAGACATAGAGGGATGAGAAGGTGAAGACATGAGTCAAATGTGTCAAAAGTATATTGGAAACATGAAAAGAAAAAGTAATAATATGCATTGGTAACTTGTACTATATATTATTTTAATTACAGATTAAGAGATTTCAAGACTAAATGCATAAAGTAGTAGTACTTAATGCATTATGAGTTATTTTTAAGACTTTGTACATAAATGTATAGTACTGTGTGCATTAAAAATTGTTTTTAAGACTTTTGAAAAATCTGGTTTATAAGAATAATATAGATTAAGTACTTTGTTCTAACTCCCTTAACTTGAGTTATGTTAAATGAGAGATATTTTAATACTTTTATCTTTTTATCATATTTCCTGTTAAAAAATAAGATAATATTATTTACTGCTACCTATTTATTATTATTATTATATAGAATATAATACAAACTAGAAACCCCCACCTTATCCGACCACATTTTTTCTCTGAAAAGACCGTCTCTCCGACCACATTCCTTCTTCAGTCATCTGTTCTGGTCACTTACTACCCTTCTTCAACTACACACACCAAGATATATTTTCATACTAAATCAACCCAAATCTAAACAAAATCACCAAAATCAATCCAAATCTAGATTTAACCATCAAAATCAACCTGAATCCAAATTTAATCAGTAAAATCAATCCAATTCCCCAAATCGAACATAAATTATAAAAACTTTTCCATTTTTAGCATATATTTATTCTTTAATGATCTTTCAACCAAGATACTAAACAAAACTGGAATCTTGATATTCTAGATACAGAAGCTTGGGATCCGGAAACAAAAAAGAGGGAAGAAAGATCTAGGTTCATATTAATGATTCTTGATGCTTCGAACGGGATTTCAGAAACAAAAAACCCTAATGATTCTTGATGCTTCGATCGATCATTAAAACACGTGGACCAACTATGGCTATGGTTGACTGATCACTAGAAATGGTCCTTGGTCTTTTATTTTTCTTTATGTATAAAGGTTGAAAATATTATGTAGCTAAACACTATGTGAACCAACTAAACTTGTATCCATCAATACCGTAAAAAGAAAAAAATTGGGTACGATTTTAATAATACTTTTTACCTTTTAAATAAACTTATATTGACATGATAACATATGTATATAATAAGATAAACTATAATCTTTTTAGGAAAAATAATGTAAGAGTTTTTCCATATTTAAGGGACTGTTTGTTTACTTTTTAATAGTTTCATTAAGAGGTAACTTCTGAATCGTTAAGAGATGAATCTTGTTTGACAAAAAAGTCCGTTCCATAATGGTTCTAAAACCATCTGAATGATTTTATATCTTGAACCTCTTTGAACCATTCAGTGCCTTGACTACTTTCCGAACAATTACCAAACAACCATATTCCATTTTTGCACTATATCATAAGAGCCTATTAATCATTCTGATCACTTAATCATTCTGTATCAAACCAAACAGCCACTGACTCTTTATAATAAGTTAAAAAGCCAACGCAGAAAATACATTTAAGATGCTCTAAAAAACGAAAAACGTTTATGGAAAAGAATAAAAAAACAATACAAAATGGAAATTGAAAGAATGATAAAAAAAATACAAAATTAGAAGTCACGTGAAACATGTGATTTTATATGAGATAAATAATATAAAGATGTTTGGCGAAAGCCTATCTATAACTTATTTAAAAAGTTGAAATACACTTTAAATATAGGTTCGTTCGTTTAAAAATCAGATTAAATCGTTAAACAATTTAATCCAATTCACAGATAACTCAATTGACTTCAGTCCCTTAACTTTTTATTATTAAGGTTGAAATTAGGTCATACACTACTTAAACAAAACCAACCTGATTTATCAGTCCATAACGTTAGATAATATATAAATTATATGATTATAAACATATTATATACATAACATCTTCAAGAACCTATTAAAAATCAAGTATTAATTTTTTTCTCATGTTAACTATTAAGTGTTTGTTTTTTGTTTTATGTATAGGAGCGAATCTAGTACGTAATAGACAATACTCGTTAATCACCAACGGGAAACATATGTAACAAGAGGATCTTTGAAAGATTATTATGCTTCCGATAGTTACAGTTTCACCTATTATTTTTGTCCATCTACATTATTTAACCATGATTGATTCGTTACATTTTGGTCCTCTACGTGATAACAGTTTCTAGTAGATTACAAGTTTAGTCTGTGTTTTAGAAACGTATCACGTTTTAGTCCAAACAATTATTGGAAAATTGTCAGTTTAGCCTCTTATTTTTTAACAAGTAGTATTTGAATCGTATAGGCCTAATAGAGTTTCAGAAATGATAAATCATATGATGATAAAATATGGAAAGTGATTGAAAACCTGTTTACTTCAAACTACTAATGAACGAATATTGTTATTTTAGCAATGTGTTTGGAGTATTTCCAAAAATAAAAAGTGCATTAATGCTAATGAGAAACAAGTGTTTGCTTAGATAAGCTCTCGACCAATCGATTACACGTCTTTATGACACTGAAAGTAGTGAATTAGTAGAAAATTGGCAAATTTCTTTTGGAAAGAAGGATTCTAGATAGAGTTTTGGTTGTTTCACATAAATTTTATGTGATTTTTTGAGTTGTATAACATATATGATTTCAATATACAACAATATTTATATTCATGTTGTTGGTCTGGTTGGGTAACGACTAACACGGAAAATGTATGTATAAAGGGGTTGAATGCAAACACAAAATGTTTTCACTTTTTTTTTATGTTCTATAAAAACAAAATTGGATCCTTTATGAAATAGATTATAGGACAAAACTTGGATCCTATTTTTTTTATCCTATACATTTCGGATCCTATATACATTTTGGATCTATATATTTTCGTATCCTAATGCATTTCCGAATTCATATCCTTATACAAATATGGGTATGATAAAATTTGATCGTTAATTTGTATTTCAGATTCTAAACATAAATCCTAAAACTTTCGTAAGTGTTAATTTGTCAGATGTATTTGTGTAATCATCAAATCAAATGGTTGAGACCAACACATGTTATAGCTTGATGCATGTGATAATATGTAGGGGTGAGCATAGGCGGGTACCCGCCCTTTTTTACAGGAACCGGAACCAGAACCGGAACCGGCGGTTCCTGAGATATTGGAACCGGAACCGGAACCGGTTAGAGCGGTTCTTAAAWTTTTGGAAYCGGAACCGGAACCGCCGGGAACCGGTTCCGGTTCCGGGTACCCGCTTCCTAAAATATTAAAATTTTGTTATTTAGAAATAAAAAATAAAACGTTGCCAAA